CCCCACCCCCCCCACACACACACACTTAAATAAGCAATATAGTAAAAGACTTGCCAGGATAAAACAAAGGCAGTTAACAAGTATTTGCCCAATCAACTTCCTTGGGTCTCCTGCTGTTAGGTTCTCAAATCTTTCAAAAATTGTCTGGAGATCAATTATTCAAATTATTTTAAAGTTTTTCTGGTTTGCTTGATCAACAAGGCCTATGGGATAGATTATAAATGGCATAATACTGTCTTCTATAATTTATGACTCATGTTTCATTCTGTCTTCCAGTACATAGACCTAGGTAGCTAAATGCCCCATGAGTATAGTATATTCAAATAATTTCCAATTTCATAACAATGCTTGTCAGTGGTTTTGTTTTTTTCCCCTTATTAATTGTTGACTCACTAAGCCTTACCCGATATACTTTGTCAGTATCTCCATTATAATACTGTACCTCACTGAAATGCACCGTGGCTGTCATCTTTATTTCTCTGGGACTATCTATAATCCCAACATGCCACTTATGATAGTCTTCAGATCAAATTTCAGTTATACTCATTAAACCATACTTTGCCACTGTTAGTATCACTTGTGGCTCATCTTGCTTCCCCATCCTGAAGTGTTTAAACCCCTTTAATTCATTATTCTGTGCAATCTCTAGAACTATTTTATCATTCAACTTGAAAGAGTAAAAACTCAGCTTTAACTCCATTTTAAACCAACTAGTCTCTTCAATTCAATCTGCTTGTGCTGCCTGTTCTTGGATAACTTACAATAAATAGAAACTTCCAGGATAGGCTTCCCCCCACCTACTTCTTTCCCATATTCCTACAACTAGGAGACCACTCCCTTCCTAGCTTTCCCTCACTTCTACAGATAGTATGGGCCACATCTTTTGGCCCCAACCCTACAATGGAACCCTAAAGCTCATACAAATTTCAATTAAGTTCAACAAGAGTCTCTATTTAAGCCAAGGCCACTGCAGGATTAGGATTTATTACTAAATTATACTGCTGAAAGCAACTTCAAGAGGTCATCTAATTTATCCCTCTGCAGTTGACTCCTCCATGGAGCATGTAAACCATACTTCAGATATAACTTTAACTTTTCCTAAAAACCTCCATTGATAATCTATCCAGAGGTGGGCAAAATATGGCCCACAGTCTGGATGCGGCCTAGCAGGCCACTCTACCTGGCCCACAGGGCCCCTAAATTTAGAAAATTAATATTAATCTGCCCCTGGCTGTCTGTCATGTGGCCCTCAATGGCTTGCCAAAACTCAGTAAGCAGTCCTCTGCCCAAAATAATTGCTCACCCCCAATGTTTAATTATCCTGACAATTAGCTTCCCTCAACATGTTATAGGTACTGCAGAATTAACTAGTTAATTGTGCAATTACCTTGAGACCAGCTACACATGCAAAGGACTTATCACACAATGAAAAGCTCCAATTGGCCATGAAGTTAGACCTCAACTTAACAACCAGCTATCAAGTTAGTACTAATAAGCTTTAGTCCGCACGTATAGTGGGGGCTCCCTGCAGCTGGGAACCCATCAGCTGTGGGCTCCTAGCCATACAGGTTTACCATGCCCAGCCAGGGCTGTGAGTCCCACAACTGCTGGGGGCTCTTACCCCTAGCAGCTGAGGACTCTGGGTCCCACCCAGACCCTGCAGCTGTGGATATTGGGTCTCTGTAGCATGTCTTCAAGTAAATTTTTTTTTTTCCTTTTTCTTCCTCTGCACCCCCCCCCCCAGTCTGGGGGAGTGCATGAAACCCCTGTGGTAGGAAGACTGCTTTTGAAGCAATTTAATTTCCCTGTGCATGGGGCATGCATGAAGCCCCTGGGGTGGCAATCCTTCTGCCAGAGGGCATCGCAGACCCCTGGGGGAGGGAGACCTGCTGCATGGGTGCCCCCACAGCTGGGAAACCCTCTACTGGGGTGTGTGGAGATCCCAGCTGCAGGAGCTTGCCTC